GACCCGCCCCCGAGGTGCGGCCCCCACCACCCTAAGGTGGGCCGCCGTCTCTGCTCCCTCTTCCTAGATAGAGTAGCGCCTGAATGGAGGATGGAATGTGGGAGCCTGTGGAGCGGAGGGGAGGCAGCAGCTTGCTCTTGGGCGCCAGCAGAGCTGCTTCAGAGCCTCTGCTGTTTGGGGGGAGGTGTGAAATTCAGCACTCAGAAGGGGCTGCCTTTTAGGCAGTCATTTTAGGAAGAGCGTTTCCTTCTTTGTTCCCAAAGCCCTCGAAGTCTTTAGGGAGGAGAGAGACACTTCCTTGCCTGGCATATTTGGGCTCCGGCCCACCGCGCTCGGTGCCTGGGGGCCTGGGCAGAGGAAGGGCACAGGGACTTGTTTACACTTCTGTGTGGTGTTTATCAGATGCCTGGCGTCCAGGAGGGCGATGTTGGATGCTGGGGAGTTCATTGGCCACCATGTCTGCCCCTGTAGCTGGGGGCCAGGCTGTGCCTCTGCTGGGGTTTGCATGGTCCCCCCCGGGCCGCTCCCTCCCCCTCCACCAGCTGGAGCTGGCGTCATGGGTGAATAAAAAGAAACACAATCCGAGGAGTCAGGCTAAAGGCATCAGTAGGGGACCCATTCCCTGTTAGGGATATTCAGTTCATCCCAGTAGCTGCGGTGAGGCAGACTCAGCCACGGGACACCTTGCCCTAGGTCAGCCGCGCTAACATGGTGAGTCCGCACACGATGCTTCCTCTGCCCACCCTCCCCTTCTAGAGCTGCCCCAGGTTGAGTACAGGGAGGGCTAACAATGGTGTACTCACCCAAGTCCTCAGAGTGCCAGCCGCACCTGGGGAGCATGGCCAGTCTGCAGGCGCACTGAGGGCACAGCGGGGTGACCCAGCCAGAACACCAGCTCAGGCCCCACTGCCTGCTCCCTTCTCATTGCTTGCGTGTCTCTCTGTCCATCAGCAAGCACATGGGAGCTGCAGAGCCTCGTCCGCAGGGCCCTCTGTCCTCAAATGTCTGTTGCCAAATTCTCTTTGTATGAAATTTACCTTTTCTCTCTGAAAGTTTGGGGAAACTTTTTTCACTTTACCCTGCCCAACATTTGAGCACTTGGTGGGCCCCTTGAATTTAAAGGTTCTTGTCTTTCTATAGCTCTGGGAAATGGTCCATTAATTTTTGGACCAATTAGTCAACCTTGTATTGGACAAATATTGACCATCACTACTGACTTCAGCCAGCCATCCACCTACCCACCCACCGATCTATCCACCCATCCATCCAACCATTCATCTACCCATCCATCTTTCCATTCATTCCTGTATCCCCCCATTTATCCATTTATTTTCCCATCCCCACCCATCCATCCATCCTCCATCCATCCACCCACTCACCCCCATCCACACATGACCAGAACTGTGTCCCCTGGGGCTGTGATGGCCAGTTCATGCAAAAGCAGTCTCGGTGTGAACTACTCCCTGAGATTCGGCATGACTGGTGACTTGTAACAAAATATTCTCTGTCCTTCGGGGCCTGAGCACATGGCCTGTGTCGCCTGGGTTGCAGGAATGGAGCTGGGGAGCCTTCCCTTTGTGGCTGCAGAATTCCTCTGCTGTTTCTTCCAGTTTCTTTCTGTCTTCGTTTCCTACCTTTTTTCCCCTTTGAGTCACACAAGGCCAAACATCCCACCAAATGCTAAGATCTGGCTGTAATTTCAACCGCCTCCAAGGTTCTCCAGAGAGAACTTTGTCTTTTTCACATGATCTATAGCCCCAGATATGCTCTGCACACTTGGGGGAGTCCTTCCAGGCTGCCCTTTGCAGGTGACATCATGACGGGTGAGCAGAGATGTTTTCTGCTGAATCTGCCGGCACCAGGCAGAGGGCTCCTCCCGTTTAACAAGGACACCGCTCTCGTCCGGGGGCTCATCTAACCCTAAGTGCTCCCAAAGGGCCGTGTCCAAGTACCATCCCATGTCTACTCACGGACTGGGGGGACACGGACGTGCTACCCGGAGCCTCTGGGTGGAGAAGAGGGGCCCGGGAACTGCCCAGCGGCAGAAATACCCATTGAGGTTGGAAACTAGGGCCTGTGGTTCTCCTGAATTTCACGGTCCATTCACTAGTTTTATTGTTAATTGATACAGTTTAAGGAAAAATTAAACTATAGGCTGAACTTATAAAATATGATTATAGGCATGAAGATATGACCCCTGAGTTAGAAACACTGGCTTTAGTCAGTAGAGCAGGAGGACAGTAAGAGCCCAGTGGGAAGGTCCGGGCGGCCCACCCGGCCTGTGCTCAGTGTTAGCCAGGCAGCGCTGCGCCTCCGCGGGGGCCCGGCGAGCTGCGAGTGATTCTACGCAGAAGACTGGCGGCCGCGTCCTCCTCAGAGGCTCTGTTATTGGTGGGAGTCTCCTGTGCCGGGAGGGAAGCAGCGGGGCCTGCTGGCCTCTGTCCTGGGAGCGTTCACGGCAGCCAGTGGCACCTGCAGCACCAGGAGCAGCGGCAGCTCCGCGTGGTGTGCCTGCCAGGGACCGGGCAGTGTTCTGAGCGTTTCTGCATCGGTTATTGCATGCATACACTGTCCCCCACCACCAAGGTGGCTCCCCTTGTGTGAGGTTCCTGTGCCCGCTGAAACAAATGGTTACAAACTCAGTGGCTTAAAACAACACAAATTTACTCTTTCATGTTCTGGGGCTCTGGCGCAAAATCAGTCTAACTGGCTGAGGTCGGGTGCTGGCAGGCTGCTGCCTTCTGGGGGCCTGGCGGGGGGACCCCTTTTCTCGCCTTCCCAGCCCCCCGAGGGCCCTGCACCCCTCGGTCGCTGCCCCCCCCCCCCCCGCCGTCCTCTGAGCCGTCGCTCTCGCCTCGGCCGCCCCCCTCGCCTCGGCCGCCCCCCTCGCACGGCCTTCTCTGCGACCCTGGCCCTCCTGCCTCCCTCTCACAAGGCCCTGCGGTTCCACGGGGCCACCAGGGGACCCACGGTGGCCTCCCGTCTCAGGGCCCTTCACCCGGGCACAGCCGCGAGGTCCCTCTGGCCGTGCGAGGTGACACCCATGGTTCCTGAGATTGGGCATATTTGGTGGAGGGACATTAGTCAGCCCATCATACCCCTGAAGCAGATTCAATGAGGAGACCCTAAAACACATTTCTTGGCTATCTTTAATGTGTATATTTTTAATGATGTATATTCAATTATTAAATGTTCAGTCATATTTAAGTGATTAATTTAGCACCACTTAGATATTAAATAATACGGTAATTTAGAAGTAAATTGAAACAAATTGTACTTTCCCACTCTTCCCTGTCATGAAAGAATGTCACTCAAATATGCATCCTCTGCACCAGTGTTTTCGTCCTCCTGGAAGCTGCCCACGGAGTCACATGATAACATGTTTCCCACGTCAGCCATCTCTCATGTTGTGCATGCGAATGACTTTGAATTATGCTTCTGTTACTGCGAGCGTTAGCCCTGACATAATTTCTCCTAATAACTTTAAAACAATTACTTAAAAACACACTCTTTAAAAAATATTTTCTATTACATTTTGATTTTGACAACATAATCACTGTATTCATTTTTTAAAAAGATTTTGTTTATTTTTAGAGAGGGGGGAGGGAGGAAGAAAGAGGGAAAGATAAACATCGATGTGCAAGAGAAACATCTGTCATTGCCTCTCACATACCCCCCACCTGGAACCTGTCCTGCAACCCAGGCACGTGCCCTGACGGAGAATCGAACCCAGCGACCCCTTGGTTTGTGGAACAATGCCCAGCCCACTGAGCGACGTCAGTCAGGGCCTGTATTGCTTTTAAAAGTGAGCTCTAAAGGGCTTTGTGTGGCACAGCGTTCTCACTGCAGGGCTGCCCTTGGCTGGTGGCCGGGACCCTGGGTGTCGGGAGGGTTCCCAGCCCCCTCCTGGTTGGAGTGTCCCCCAGTGCGTTGCCTGTCTGTGCAAACCATGTGGTCTGTCCTCTAGGGAGCCTGGAGTTTGGGACGTGCCAGGCAGGGCCCGCGGGGCGGCCCCCGTGAGAGCCCTGGCTGAGCCTCTAGGGGCCTCCCTGGTAGACGCGCTCCACGCGCTGTCACAACACGAGGCGCAGGGAACTGGGCGCATCCCTTGGGGCTCTGGAAGACGACCTGGGGGCTGAGCCTGGTCTCCTCTGGACTCAGCCCCGCGGGCCCTCTCCCTGCTCTGGTTTTGCTTTGTGTCCTGTCGCTTGTAAGTCACAGCCATGAGTAGGCTGTGTGCATAGTCCCATGTCCTCCTGGTGAGTCATCGGATCACCTTGGGGCCCTGGTGCGGGTTTGTTTGGATGACAACAGCCCCCATGATTATGAAGCTATCCCCCTGGAGTAATTGTATTGAATTCCTGTGCTCTTCTTGGTGGTTTTCTCTGTGGTATCGGGCAGCCTCTGTAGTTTGGGCTGAGGTGTTTCAGACTGATGTTTCCCCCACACGGTACCTTGGCGAGAGGGTGGAGCATGACACAACATTAGCTGATGGCTTCCCTGGGGAAAATCTTTCTAGAGGGGCTTGTGACCAAGCACTGGTTGGACTAGGCGTTATTCTGCCCTGAGTCTGCGCCAGCCCTCCTTTTCAGTCCGACTCTGCCCTTTGGTTCAGATGTCCCTCAGACACTTCGGGTCTGCAGGGGCTGCTGGACCTCGGGCCATGCTGTGAGTGTGAGGGTCTTCAGGTCCCTTCTCTTTCCGTCCAGATCGGGAGGTGGGGCAGCCCCAGGAAGCAGATTCTGGGGAGCCCTTAGGGGCAGCCTCTCAGGAGGTACCGTGTTCTGGGGGATCTGTCCTGGGAGATTTTTCCTACTTGGAAGGAGACTCTTAGCCTGACCTTAGATTTCCTGCCTCTCCTCCACTTTGACATTTACACAGTAACTAGAGGCTCCTGGGACAGGCTTTGTTAATGAATTACCTTTTTAGGTTTAGGTAATACCAGTAAGCAATAGAGAGCTGGGTGCTTTAATAATGAGCTATTTGCTTTTCTTTTTTAGGGCATTATTTCCAGAAAAACTATGGCAGCATCAAGCATTCTCTGAACGGCGGACCCCCGGGAGTAAGGAACTATGCTCCTGGCCTTGGAGGCACGTTGAGATGTACAGAGCGGGGGACACAGGGGAGCGCCCGCCACAGGGGACGGCGCCCCCTCGTCTGAGGAGCGTGGAGGTGGCCAGAGGAAGAGCAGGGTACGGGTTCACCCTCTCTGGCCAGGCGCCGTGCGTGCTCAGCTGTGTCATGAGGGGCAGCCCTGCCGATTTTGTGGGCCTCCGTGCTGGAGACCAGATACTTGCTGTCAACGAAATCAACGTGAAGAAGGCGTCCCATGAGGACGTGGTGAAGTTAATCGGGAAGTGCTCTGGGGTCCTGCACATGGTGGTGGGCGAAGGCCTCGGCCACTTGGAGTCGTGCTCCAGCGATGAGGAAGTGGGGTTCTACGAGGGAAAAGGCTGGCGGAAGCCCAGACTTGATTCCAAAGCGCTAGGTATAAACAGAGCGGAGAGAGTTGTTGAAGAAATGCAGTCGGGTGGGATTTTCAACATGATCTTTGAAAATCCTCGTCTTCGTGCAAGCAGTTCAGAGCCCTCGAAATTGAAACAAAGATCCCTTTCAGAGTCAGCTGCTGCGCGATTTGACCTTGGACATGAAAGTGTCAATGATCTGCACCCCAGCCTGCTTTCCAAGGAGGAAATTTCAAAAGTTATTAATGATGATTCGGTTTTCAGTATTGGACTAGAGAACCATGAAGATTTTGGATTAGATGCAAGTATTTTAAATGTCGCCATGGTCGTCGGCTATTTAGGTTCTATTGAACTCCCTTCGACAAGCTGCAACCTGGAGTCCGAGAGCTTCCAGGCCATCCGCGGCTGCCTGCGGCGCTTGCGGGCCGAGCAGAAGATCCACTCTCTGGTGACCATGAAGATCATGCACGACGGGGTGCAGCTGTGCACCGACAAGGCTGCCGTGCTGGCCGAGTACCCCGCCGAGAAGCTGGCCTTCAGTGCTGTGTGCCCAGACGACAGGAGGTTCTTTGGGCTTGTGACGATGCAGAGCAGTGACGATGGCAGTCTGGCGCGGGAGGATGAGGGTGTCTTGCGGACCTCCTGCCACGTGTTTATGGTGGATCCAGACCTGTTCAATCACAAGATCCACCAAGGCATCGCCCGACGGTTTGGGTTTGAGTGCACGGCCGACCCTGACACCAACGGCTGCCTGGAATTCCCAGCGTCCTCCCTGCCCGTCCTCCAGTTCATCTCCGTGCTATACAGGGACATGGGCGAGCTGATTGAGGGTGTACGGGCCCGGGCCTTTGTGGACGGGGATGCCGACGCCCACCAGAACACCAGCACCAGCAGCAACAGCGACAGTGGCATCGGGAATTTCAACCAGGAAGAGAGAAGCAGCCGGGTGCTTGTGGTCGACCTGGGCGCCAGCTCTAGCAGGCACGGCCCCAGCAGCAGTGCCTGGGAGGGCGCAGGCGGGAGGGGCCCCCAGCCTCGGGGCGCCCCCTGGAACGGGGCCTTTGGCCTCGAGCCCGAGGCAGGGCCCCCAGGGGAAGCTGCTCAGCAGGCTGACCGGTGCTGGGATTTCAGCAAGCACCTAGGGCCCACTGCTCACGTGGAGGTCCCCCCGACCTCCTTGCGGAGTTCTGTCCCTCCTTCCAAGAGAGGTGCCGTGGGCCCTGGCGGTGGCTTCGGCCAGCGGTGGCTTCCGGTTCACGTCCTGCAGGAGTGGCAGTGTGGACACGCCAGCGACCAGGAGTCTTACACGGACTCCACCGACGGGTGGTCCAGCGTCAACTGCGGCACGCTGCCCCCTCCCATGAACAAGATTCCCGCGGACCGCTACCGGGTGGAGGGCAGCCTGGCGCAGCCACCGTTGAGCACCCAGAAGAGGGACTGGTCCCGGAAGGCTTTTGGGATGCAAACCATTTTTGGTCCCCATCGAAATATTAGAAAGACTAAGGAAGACAAAAAGGTAAGCCTGCTGGGAGTGGATCAGTAACGGTGAACTTGATTCGACGACTTAGTGACTGACGGAGTGACAGCACACCAGTTGCCTAGTCCCCAGTCCCAGCTCCCCTGAGCTGCGGCCTTTGTCGGGGGTTGCAGGGTGCCTGCTGTGACTGTGTGCTGCGGGCTCCATCTTGCCTGGCGCGCTCGTGGCTCTCTCGAGTGGTCTCATCCCCAGCAGGCCCTGGCTCTGCCGCCTCTTGGGGTCCTGCATGGGTCTGGAGGGACAGGTGCTGGTGGAAGGGATGGTGACTTCTCATAGCCTGGGTGAGGGTCTTCCCTGCTCCTTTCTGCCCTTTCCTGTTGCTGGTGCCCAGAGGGTCCCGTCCCTGCAGCTCCTTCAAAGCCCAGAGCGGCTCTGGCCTGCGTCTTCGCCCCAGTGGCCAAGGCAGCAGGCCCTGTTGGGGTGAGAGCGTCCTTGAGGCGTGGAGGCTGCTCACGCCGGGGCACGGCTCCCTCGTGGTGTCGAGCCGTGCGCTGTTTCCTTCATCAGGAAAACCCCACATCGCGGTGCCCAGGGGCGTCGGGGTGTGCTCCCATTGCCTCCCAGGAGTGTCCCGGTTTCCTGTTTTATATGTAGACCTGTGACCCGTGTTGCGCTGACTTTTTGTGAAGGGTGTGCAGTCTGCATCCAGACTTCCTTTTCTGCGTGTGGACGTCCTGGCTCCAGCACCATTTGTAGGAAAGGCTCTCTTTGCTCCTCTGTCCAAGATCAGATGAGTCGCTGCGGGGATCTTGGGCTTCTTTTTAATGTTCTTTCACCTTGAACAAACATGCGCCAAGAAGGATGGTATTGGCTGGTATTACCGCCCGTCACAGAAGAATGAAATACTTGTCACGGAGTAGTTGTGTCACTGGCATTAGAAGGTAACAGCGTAGCATTCCCTAGTTTGTGGTGCACCTGGTGTCCTGTCGAACCTGGGTGGGACTTCTGTGAGTTTGTCCAGCTGGGTACCTTTATTTTCATTTTACTGACAAGGTTTATGCGTATTAACAACTTGCCACAGTCAGGTGGCAAATTAGTGCTGAGACTAAGGCGTACCTAGAGCTCCATGTCATCTTCCCCTATAGATCCTTTTGTAATGGGATGGGACACCTGTTTATCTAAAAATAAGTAGTAAGGAATTGTGTTTCATTGGGTCCCTGCTATAATCTTCTTGAAATTTATTGGTTGCTTTTTGCTTTGCTGAATGGGCTCCCATGTGTTTTTAGCTCAGTGTAATCCCACAGCCTCTTTGGTTGGAGTGCAGAAGTTTCCAGAGGCTGTGAGGTGGGTGTCCGGGTGTCCCTCCAGGCCCGGCTTGAGCTGGCTGGAGGTGTGTCAAGATGCACAGAGGACAGGCCAGAAAGGGACAGAGGACGTGCCAGGACATAAGAAGAGAAAGAGGCTTTAGGAAAGGCAAGAGGCAAGCCCTGGCTGGTGTGGCTCAGTGCATGGAGCTCTGGCCTGTGAACCGAGAGGTCTCTGGTCTGATTCCTGGTCAGGGCACGTGCCTAAGTTGTGAAATGTGCCAGTGCCCGGAGCAGGAAGGTACATGAGAGGTGCTGTTAGCAGGCAGAAGGTGGCTCCTGCCGGGAGAGCCCTAGTGCGGCAAGGGGGCCTGGCAGGGAGGCCGCGCTGTGAGCCGCTGCGCAGGCTTCTCTGCTCTCTGGCCCAGAGGGCACAGGATTCCACATGGGATCCTGTAGTTTTTCTAGTACAATGACAGGAAGTTTTAAAATAGATTGTAAAAATATCTGGGGAACGCAGTTAAGGCTCCTGTGAAAAGATGTGGCTTTGATCATGACCCTGTGCAAACAATGCCCATGGGCAGCATCGCATCGCTCGCTGGCCCCAATCCCAAGGAAGGCAGGCGGCGACCGCGGCCTTGGCGGGAGCCCCTGGTCCGCAGGGATAAACACGCCATTAGCGGAGACACCATGGATCTGAGCTGCCCTGGGGCTGGAGCGCTGGGCACGGAGCGCCTTCCGACAACAGGTGCTGCGCGCGCTCTAGGGGCTCGGGGCACGAGGGGCGCTGCCACCGAGGCTGCCGCAGGAGCCAGGGGAGCAGAGCGGAGAAGCACGCCCGGCGTCGCTCGCTCTTGGTTTTATGTGATTTCCAGGAAGCGTGCGGCCGTTCAGAGCTGAGAGGCCGCTGTGTCCACTAGGGCGCTGGGGTGTCTGAGTCCCTTGACGGTGTACCGACTGGTCACGGCCGCCTCTGCAGCTTCATGACGTGGGCTCTGCCCTTGTCTCCTAGTCACTTGTTATTGTTTTAAAGATTTATTTGTGATCTTACCTGTAGCTCCAGTTTATTCATTTCGGCCATGTAACAGTACACACACGCAGAGTCACCACGGAAGCGACCACAGTGCTGCGGCAGACATTCTTGTGCACGGCTCCAGGTGTGTGTGGGAAGGAAGTTCCCACGTGCGCAGCACGGACTGGCTAGCTTTGGCAGCGCCCGTCTAGCGGGTGATGGCCGGGAGTTACATTTTCAGTATGCATTTGTCCATGTTGACAATGGCCACCAGCGTTGTGAAGTGGGGCAGATCTCGTTGTTTAGTGATGATGACCTTGCTGCTCTCCCCACACCCTGTCCTCATGCTGGGCCACACAACGAGAACCACCTCAGAGGTCGCCCTGCGTGTACCGGGGCTGTACAGTAGGTGGGGGCGCCGCAGACAGGAGTCTTAGAGCTTAGACACAGGCTGCCCCTTCCTCTCCTGAGCGGGGAGGCAGCCCTGGGCCCTTTGAGCAGATTCTCCTTGGAGACAGAGGGAGGACTCCTGGGTTTCCCCTCTTCCCCTTTGCAGCGTGAGCAGGTGTCTCCAGGAGGAACGGAAGCCGAGCTCCTCCCGGGGGGTGTCCTCTGGTCTTGCCCCTGGAATGGAAACCCCGGGGAGGTAGCCCCCCCGAGTTTTCACCGTAGGCCCCAGCGTCATTGAACCGCCCAGGTCTGGGGCTCAGAGACTTGCAGTCCCAGTGAAACTTGGCCCTGCGGAAACACAGTGTGGCCTCCCCACAGCCCCGCCCCTGCCGGCATCCTGGCTCAGAGGGCTCCCCGTCCTGGCCAGCGCTGCTGGTGTCCTCAGATTTGTCGGTTGGCAGCCTCGCAGAGGCAGAATGGCCCCTCGCAGTGGCCTCAGTTGGTGCCCCCTTGGGCACGAAGGTTTGGTTCCCTTGCTGATGGCCTGTTTTCCTACTCGGCTGCCTTTTTCTCTATGACGTGCAGGAATTACAGGTGCTGCCGATAACCCTCTGCTGAGGATAGGTGTGCACGTGTATCTCCCCAGCGCACAGCTGGCTTTCCGCTTGCTTTGTGGTGCCTTGATGAATAGCTGTTCTTAATTTGAGTGTCACCTGACGCAGCATTTTCTCCTATGCTTTGTGCTTTTGATTTAAGACAGTCACTACTATCCCGAGGTCAGGAAGAGCCTTTCCGTTCTCCCCTCACATTTCTTGGAGTTGATTTTTATGACTGGAATAAGGTGGTTGGCAAGTTCATTTTTTCCATGTGGATGACCAGGTGTGGGAGCGCTAAATTTCTTTTCAGGGGCCTGGGAGTGCCCCCTGCTCTACGCCACCCACTCACGTGTGTGCGGGGTGTGCCTCAGTCCCCCTTTCCGTGGTCAGCACCCCCACAATACTTTACTATTGAAGATTGTTGCTTCATATGTCTTTGTATCTGATGGGGCAGGTCTCCTTACCGCACCCTGACTCTGCTTGAGCCTTGCACTTTTATATACGTTTCACAATGTTTATAAATTCTCTAAAAATGCTCTTGACATTTTTATTGCAGTTGTACTTTAATCTGCAGACCAGCCTGGGGGAGTGGGTGTCGTTTCAGTACTGACCCTTCCTGTCCATGAGAATGGTATCTGTCTCCACTTATTTAGCTCTTCTTTATTCTCTTTCAATAAAATTTTTAACTGTCTTTATGAACATCTTTACTTGGATTTATTCTTAGAGTTGTTAGTTAGCTGTATTCCTCAGTCCTTTATACATTTTGTTATCCTTGCAACTGGTGCCTGCTTAAACATTGTAAATGCCAACTTTTGTGATGTGTAAAAGTGCAGTTGATTTGTTGCTTTCATACCCAGCTGCCTTGCCAAGGTTATTTTATTTGTTTATACTAGTCATCGTGAACATGGGTCGAATTTTGGCTTTTCTTTTTTGGTTGTTTTGCATTCATTGAGATGACCAACCAAGCTTCTTCCTTTAAAATGCCAATGTGATTTGCTACACTTCCATTCTTGAGATAAACCTAACTTGTGATTATCTTTTTATATACTAATGGATTTGGGTTGCTAACATTTTCATAGAACTTTTCAGTCTGTGTTTATGAGTGATCAGACTGTCTTTAGTTTTCCGTCCTCCCCTTGTCTTTGGTTTTGGTGTTAAGGTTATTCTAGCCTAAAACAGTCATAAAATCGATGGTGGCATTTTCTCCTCCCCTTCTCTTTTTGTGTATTTAGTCTTTTATTGGAAAAGTCTTACTATAGGTGAAGTCCGTTTTGTCTGTTACCATCATAGCTGTGTAAGCCTTTTCTGACTCAGCATTTTATATTATTTTATTTAAACTTTTTATTTCTCCATGTTCTAGGATTGTTACTGTAAGTAGCAGATAGTTGGATTTTTTCCTAATTCTCATTCTTCTAATAGTTCACAAGTAAGATCAGAGACAATTGGCAAATTTAGTCCATGTATATTTATTGGGGTTACTGGTATGTTATTTTGGTTCTATGATATTATGTACTTAATATAAATCTGTTTTGTTTTTTTTTTAGGCTTTTTCCTCCTGTTTTTCCAGAGTCTTTGTTTTGTTTTCAAGACTTTTTGGTTTGTGTGCTATTTCATTGCCCCTCCTTCCTTGGTTTAGAAGTGATGTGCTTTGTTTCTGTTTTTTAAAGGTTTTGTCTTGACTGATTGCCTGGTACATAGTAGGCTCTTAGATATTTGTTGAATAAATAAATGTTTCCCTTAATTTTATGCCCCAATTTAAATGTCCTTTCCTCTCTATTCATCCTTCTCTTTCTTGAATAGGAGACCGAGTCTTTGTCTGCATTTTCTTCCTCTTTTCTCAAGATGGTGGCTCGCTATGATGAGTAAACCTTCTTCAGCTCCTTACATGCTCCTCCCAGAGTTGGTCCAGTTTTATGTTTGAAATTTGTTGATTCTAAAACTGTTTTGATGTTGGGCTTCGAATTCTCCCTGGTGTGTAGTTTTGTTGTAACGTGATTTAACAAGTTGTGCCAGTTAGTCAGCTGTTGTCCCTCAACTCCGAGCCTGCCCTTTGTGATTGGCTGTGGGGTGCCGGGGCGTGTGTGCTCCCCCGCACCGCCATCTGGGTCCCTGGCCGCTTCCGCCTCAAGGGGCCCGCGGGGGGCCCTGCTCCTTGTCTGCTCCCGGTTGCCCGCTCCTCCCGTGGTGACTCTTCCCCACCAGGCGGTCCTTCCTGCGGCAGCCCGCGTGCAGTTTGCGGTCCCCCCAGCTCTCCTGGGCCGGCCTTGTCACCCCTCAGGCGCCGCGGTCTGGGTCCCAGCGCCTCCGGCCCCTTGTCCGGCTGCCAAGGTGAAAGAACTCCCCTCTTTCCTGCGGTCCCAGCCCCCGGGCGCAGCTGCCTCCTGAGCCCGAGAGTGTGAAAGCTGTCACAATACACTCTAAGAAAATACTTTTTGGCTGAGCTAGAATTTGTATGAACTCCTCAGTGCTGAAACAACTGGTGTGGTTTTGCTTTCTGACTAGATCCATGCTACCTCTTTCTGGAAAATTACTCAGGTGATCTGGTCTTTACTTTAAGCTAAATGGTCTCCAGGGTTAGAGTTTACTTGTTCAGTAAGTGCCTATTAAACACCTGCTGTGTACCAGGCACCGGGGGGCTGGGCAGAGCGGCCACCAGGTGGGCGCGGCCCTTGCCCCTCTGGGGCCCATGGGCCAGTGCCAGGGCTCTGAAGGCGGGGGATTTCCAGTTCTGACTGTGACTAGATTGTCACAGCGCAGCGATGGGACTGGGGTCTCCTCCGCCTCCTCCCCTCCAGCCGAGTGGCCCTGAGCAGGCCCTCCGCTGCCCCGGGTCTCTCTCAGTTGTAGGTTGAGGAGTGACTGGCTGTGCTGAAACGGGTCCTCTCCCTAACGTGGTGGCTTCATGGGACAGTCAGTGCTGGTGCTGAGAGTGGCTGGGCAGCTGGCACCCTGGGCCGGGGGGCGGCTACCCTGGGCTCTGTTCTCACCCTGCTTCTCAGCTGTTCCGCCCCAGAGGGACCCCGGCACCTCTCAGGACCTCCTTTGTGGGGACAAAGGCATTCCTTAGGACCCCTCCCACCCCTCTTGTTTTGAGGCGACAGCAATGAGGCGGGCCGTTTCTGCGTGTCCTAAGCGGAGGCCGGGGGTAGGGCCGGGCCCTTCGGTTCTGGAGGCGCGCTGCCCATATGCGGCCCCCGGCGGGGCTGCCGACGGCGATGCTGGCGGTTGGGCTGTGTTCTCAATGCTTGGAGGCGGGCCTCTCGTGTGACTCTTGGGGGCAAAACGATGGAGCTTGTCCCCCATGCCCTCTGACATTGGGACGCAGCAGTCCTGGGCTGGGCCATGCCACGTGATGACGGTGTTGCCAGGCATCTCCCGCCCACCTTCTTGAGTAGTTGTGATTTGTTTGCAGTTTAAAAAGTGGAGTTGACTTTGAAAAAAGGAGCTGCTGCCTCACCACTCCACAGCCGCCACTGTGCAGTCGTCTGCGGGGAACCGGCCTGCTCTGTGCCAGCGGGGCCAGGCGCCAGCGCTTTTCCAACAGTGCACCCGGCAGCGAGAGACGAGCCAGGAAATGCGAGACTGTCCTCGTTGAGGGGTGTCACTGCTGGGCTGACTCAGTTTTTTGTGGGAATTTTTTTCTGTCTGCTTGTTAGCTTTTTCTTCTATTTCCTTTAAGTTTCCAAACCTCATGGCACAGCCATGCATAGTGAGGCCCTCACCTTCCTCACTGGCCTGCCTGCCTGGCCCCATGCAGGGCCGCTGGGGGCCGCTCTGCTGCCGCCTGGCCCTGGCTCTGCAGCGACCTGGTTTTAAACTACACTGTCCTTATCACAGAGCCCTGTGTTCAGCACCCGCCACCCCGCAGCCCCACCAAAAAGGCGCATATACGTGCCAGCAAATACGGGGTTTGCACAGAGGTTCATATTTTCATATCTGGAGCCTTCTTTTGTTCCATGATGAATGAGGAACGTTTTCTGTATGGTTACCTGTGCGACAACAAGCACCTGAGTGTCCGCATGGATTGCCATGCCCTTTAGGGGGCCGGCGCCCTGTCATTGGACACTGAGGACCCCACGTTGGTTGGCTCTGTTTCGTCCTCTCAGCAAATGCTACATCTGCGGCTGGGCACTGCGCCGGGCCGCAGGGTCTGGGGTGGGAGGCAGACAGAGGCCTTGCTGCCCTTGGCAACGCACAGGCTCCTGGGGACGTGCCACAGAGGCTGGCGCATGCTCTTTCATTTTGTGAGGCTTAGGGGCCAGGGTTAAAGGAGGTCCCGGGGAGGCATCTTGGGGCGAAGGCTGCAGGTAGGGAGGGGCAGGCGGCCGGGGCCCGCAGAGCACTGTGGGGACGCCCCGGCGGGCACTGAATGGGGCCGCGGGGCAGGTGCGGGGCGCAGGCTGCGCAGGGAGGGAGGCCGTGGGGCCCGTGCGGGCCTGACCCCGACGTGCTGGCTCCTGGGCCAGGAGGGAGCTGGGCTCCTGGAAAGAGATGGTGGGGTTCCAGGCATATTTTCTAGATAGAATCGGCTCTGGGGCACATTTTTTGGAAAAGGAATTTTTTTAGACAAGTGTTTCTGGAACAAGTTGAGGGACTTGCTGGAGGGGAGCAGCATGGCGGGCAGCAAGGGGTGCAGCCCGGAGCCCGGGCGGGGCAGCAGTGGGGCTGGGCTCGGTAGCTGCCCAGCTGCCAACCGGAAGTCTGAGTTCTGGCAGGGAAGCCTGAGGGGCCTGTCACCAGGAGCTGAAACGCCCTGCGGGGCACATCTGTGTCTGAATTGGAACCCTGAGGCCCTCGCCTGAGAGTGTCTCAGAGGCCAACCAGCGGAAGGCGGGATCTGGTGACCCCCAGAGTGACAGGCAGGAGTTGAAACCCATGTTTTCTCAACCTCAGAGAGGCCGCAGGCACAGGTCACCTGCAGGTCACCGTCCCATCCCCATCCGGGGACAAGCAGACCTTCCTGTGCACCTTGATTTGTTTGAGGGAACTCAGCTGGGCACCAGCAGGTGCATTGGAGAGGCTGCCATGCAGCCGCTTTGAGACTTCACCTCCAGGTGGCTCTTGCTGGCACCTGTGTGGGGTGGCGTCACTCGGGGGTGACTAATGGCTTCCAACCTCGTGGGGGTCTGGCTCCAGCCCAGGTCCGCCGTCTGTCCCCAGAGCCTTGGCTTTTCCTCGAGGGTTCCTCACTCTCTGTCCCTCAGGCTACTTAGGGCTTCTAGTCGCTAGGAGGTCCGGTTTTCAGCTGCGGTGCTTTTTATTTTAGAGATGTCATGACTGACTTGCTGAAACTAACATCGCATTTGGAGAAGTGTCTAGCATAACAAGTAAATTAATTCTAGTTGTTTCCCAGAGAGAGAACAAGATGTTTCACTGGCCAGCCAATGCCTGCCCCCGAGTGGGTAGGGGCTGTAGACACCAGCTGCGTGTCGAGGGCTCTTTAGGATCCCAGAAACTCATAAAAGTATGTGACAGCGCGGCCCATGGAAACCAGTCATTGTCCTGCCGCACAGTGCTTTCGCAGACGTTCATACCTGCTCTTTCCTCTGCTCTTGTGACAGATCCCCTGGTGACCGTGGAGGCTGAGGCTGGCTTGTCCTCTGGGGCTCATGGTTGCAAGGGACAGAGCTCATCCCCAGAAGCACTGGGATGACTCTTTGTGGCCTGGCTCTTTTTTTGTTACTGAGGGAGCGCATGTCTGCGCGCCGTGACCCCGCCCGGGCCGGTCGTGGTCCAGTATGCCGTGTCCCACTCTGCCCTCAGTTCTTGGCGAGGTGGTGCGTCAGGCAAAGCAAAGCACCTCTCCCAAGGAGGCAGCTCAATTTACTGTTTGTTTGTTTGTTGGTTGGTTTGTTTAGGGCTCAAAATTTGGACGGGGACTTGGACTTGCTCAGACTTCTCAGCGCACCTCTGCTCGGAGATCATTCGGAAGATCCAAGAGATTTAGTGTTACCCGCTCCCTCGATGACCTTGAGGTAAGCATTTTCCTGTTTCTTCTTTTATTCTTCAGGTTTTTAGAAATGAAAAATCACTCTTACAAATACATTCAGATCTCCTTTGAATCCGCGCCCCCGCCCCTACTCCCCTCTCCCCTCCCGAGGTAACCACTAGCTTCTGGCGTGCGTCTGGGTACTTTTTGCCTGGCACATGTCCCCAGATGGTCATAGTGTTTTTATTGCAGTCTCCTTCAGGCCAGGTGCTGTGGTAAACACTTCGCACAAGCGAACTTGTCTACCCTCAAGTCTTCGAGGAAGGAAGGGCCTCTCATTACCCGCTTCATAAAGATGTGATGCTGGTGCACAGATACAGATAATATTATTTTGTATGGTTCTTTTTTCCCTCTATATTCCTTAAAAATTTAATCAACTCTGCTTTCAGAATAGTGTCAGGTTTGCAGAGCGCTTACGCAGAGAGCGCAGAGTGCCCACGTGCTCCCTGGCTCGCTGCGGCTGGCGCCCTACATTCCTGCAGAGCGCTCACTGCGAGGGGTGAGCAACATGGTGCCTTGTTATTAAGTCCCTAGTTTCCGTGAGTGCTCCGCTCCCCCCGCCGCCCCCTGGTGCTGTGCTTTCCAAAGGTTCAGACCAGCGTATCATGTCACGTAGTTGCCATGATAGTGTCGTACAGGGCGGTTTCACTGCTCCGCCTGTTTGGCCTTCCCGCCTCCCCATGAACCCTGTGCGGCCAGTGACCCTTTTGCCAGTTCATTTTATGTGTTCTCAAAGTTTACACTGCTGAAGTTGTACTCTATGGCTGATTCTACCCCTCGTATTTATTTGTTTTTTGTTTATGGATTTGAGAGAGAGACATCGATTTGTTGTTCCAGTGATTGTGATGCATTCATTGGTTGATTGTTTTGCCTGGGGATGAGCCCACAGCGTTGGCATATCAGGACGATGCTCTAACCAGCTGAGCTATCTGGCCAGAGCTGATTCTGCCCCTTTTAAACCGTAGCATGAAGTTTTCAAGGTGCACCCACGTAGCGCCAGTTCAGTGATTGGACCTGCTACGTGGCATCCCACTTGGCCGGTGCCACAGAGTCGTGTGTGCTCCCGTCGAAGGCACCCGCTGGAGAGCTGGGTCGTCTGCTCTGAGGGGCACCCGTGGCGTCCCCGTCAGATGTCCCGGAGTGCACGCGGGGGAGAGGGCGCTCCTGGTAGTAAAATTGCTGGCGACGGCCATGGCCCGATGCCCACTCCCAAGGGCCCTTCCCACTGGGGCTGTGGTCACCCACAGGGTGCGGGTCCCTGTGACCCCGCCGCAGCGCACTTGGTGTGTCAGACATGCGTTTCCCCCCATTTCAATGAAATGGCCTCTTGTTTCAATTTGTATTTCACCGATTAGTAATGAGACTGAATGTTGTCTCATGGGGTTTTCGGCTATTAGTTTTCTCCTTCTTCTATTAGTAGCTTATGTATATCCTTTTTCTGTTGGGTTGTTTTTTATAGATTATTTAGTAGTTCTTTATATGTTCTGGATATGTGTCCTCTGTCAGATAAACATTTCGAAAATATCTTCTTTGCACCTTATTTCTACCCGTGTTTAGGGTGCCTTTAGTTAAGTATATATATGTGTATATTTTAAATTGTGGTAAACTTTTACAACATGAGCCGTTGTCCAGCTTGGTGGCATCGGGCACGTTTGCCCTGCTGGGCAGCTGCCCCCACCCTCACCTCCGGGACTTCCCATCTCTCCACGCGGACGCTCTGTCCCATGAAACACTCCCCGCACCGTGCCCTGCCCCTGGCGCCCCCGAGATCGGCTCTCGATCTCTGTGAGGCTGCCTCCCCTCGGCCCTCACATAAGCGGAGTCGCACAACACACATCTTTCTGTGATGAGCCATTTGCCTCCGGCGCGCCGCCCATGAGGTCTGCCTGTGGTGCAGTGGGGCCAGGGACCCCGTCCGAGGCGGAGCAGGGCGGCACACCACTGTGCGGAGCCACGCTGCCTGCCTGTCCATCCTGCCCATCTGTCCCACCCTTGGCTGCTGCGAACGTGGGGGTACGAATACCTGTTGGAGTTTATTTATATTTAAGAAGTTAACTTTAAATAAGATAATTTATTATAGATGCAGTAATTGGTTGTTTTTTAAAACTGTAAGTGAGTGTGTTTTGATGTGAAACTGGGAGTGTGGGCCATCAGAGCCTGTTGCTGTGCGGCTGAGGGGAGGCGTGCGGAGCGTGTGTGGCGGCTGCGGGCAGGGCAACGTGGGGGCATGTGGTGGCTGCAGACAGGAGCCGGCCACCGGCCCGCGTGCTCGCGGGCTGCTCGAGGGCTTTCCAGGCCGGTGCACTGTGCTTGGCTACACTGCGGGCAGAACAGGCTCGCATGGTGCTCATGCTCAGCCCATGCCGATGGGCCCTCGGTGCTATTGTGGTCCGTGCTGGAAGGTGGGTCTCAGCCAAGCTTGTGTTCTCGGCTGAGGGTTTTGCCAAGTGTTGTGTATCTACTTCCCTGGGAGAAGGGTCTCTGAGACTGCGAGGTGAAGAAGCTCGTGGCTGATGGCCTGCCATGTGGTGATGGCGTGTGGGCTGACACCCGCCTCTCCCACGACGTGTGGATCTGGCTCCAGCCCTCCGTGGCTGCGTCGTTGCTGCTGTCGGGCGGTTGGCCAGGGGAAGCCGGGCGCCCGTGGCTTTTCTCCCGATGTTGCTGTGGGCCCAACATGGAGACGGGCCCGACGCAGGGAAGGTCTCAGTATTCAGAGGCCATGCCCGGCTGGAGCGCCCACGGCCTCCCCACTCACTGAGCTTCTTTGGTCACAACAGTCCATTACTGACGTGGGATTCGATGTTTGCTAATTTTTTGCCTAAAGATTTCAAAACGTTGAAGTACAAATGGCTTTCTTCGACCCCATCATCACAAGGCCCTTTCTAAGGGAGGTCAGCCTGCGGAGCCCGGCGTCTGACTCCCGAGCCCTTGGGCCCGTGTTCCCAGCATTCCCCCATGTGCGGTCCCCGCAGGGGCACAGGCTTTGTCCTCTCGCCCTTAATTGGTGCTTAATCAGCCAGGGCCGCTGAGCGCCTCTCTGTGTGCACTGCGGCCTGCCTGGCCGTCCCCTTGACCAGCACTCACGTTGGCTCCTCTGCACATGTCCAGTTTCCAGTCCACTCCCTGGGTCCCCTGTGGGCACCAGTGTCTTACATTGGGTGACCTGGAGGCGGGCCCAGATGGGGAGCCATTTAAACACTGGGATGAGGCGGAAGGCCCAGCAAGGAGCCACGTCGTTGACGCTGCAGCGGCGGCCTGAGTGCTGGGAGCTGGCAGGCAGGTGTTCAGGGTGCCCGGGTGGCTAAAAGAGGCTGAGGGTGCCAGTTAATATTTTTAAAAGGTAAGGATGCATGTTGTAATCTCCAGGGTAACCTAGGATGATAAAATAATGAACATATTTCAAGTTAACAGAAGGAAAAAATAGAGTCATAAATGATACTCAGTTGGAAAGGAGGTGAGCAAGGGGGGCGCGGAGAGACGGAGGAAGGACAGAGGGAGCGCAGCTAGTGAAACGCTCGGGTTCAGTTCAGACGGGTCAGAAATTACATGGATATTGAATAAGTTAAGTATTCCAATTAAAAAAGATGGTTGGGCTTCATTAAAAATATGTTGTGCTGTTTATTACAGATACAACTAAAACTTAAAGATACAAAAAATACAAATGAAGTAATGGAAAAGGATGTGCCATGCACTGTTCATATTCATATCAATGTAGAGTTTAAGGCAAAAACGCATTTCTAACGATAAAAAGGGAGATTTCATGATTAAAGGGAGCAAGAAGTCACATTCTAAATTCTGTACGCGCTCAAGAACGTGGTCTCAGCACGCCCGACGCAGACGTGGGCGGGCGGGACGAGGCACGGATTGGCCGCACTGACAGCAGGGGTGCGGGCCCGCCCTGCTCCGAGACCGCCAGCGGCGCGTCCGACAGGGGCCCGGCGCGGACAGCAGGACGCCCGGCCTGGGCGCTGACAAAAGCCGGCCCTGTGCCGGCCCGCCAAGCAGGTCTCAGCCGGCGTGGACCACCCTCCCGCAGCCTGCCCTCTGCTGCTGGAAGGACCGCGGACACTGGCGGCAGAGGCCGCACGCCGGCCTGGCAGTGGGCCCCTGCCAAGTGACCCGGGGTCCCAGGGAAAGTCTCTGTGGAACGTTTGGGATGGCAGTGAAAACACACACGCACCTCAACCTGTGGGGCGAGGCCAGACGGCGCGTCCAGGAGCGCGGAGGGCCTTGCAGCGCCTGGGTGCGGAGCGCAGGTCGCGCAGCGCCACCGCGGGCTGGCGGAGAGCTGGGCGCCGGTAAGGGCAAGAGCAGACGCTAACGAAATGGAGACCAGCAAACTAAACCAGCAGAAGGGCGGGCCGAGGGCATCGCTTCCCAGCTCGTTTCAGGAGGCAGGTGTTGGGGTGGAGAAGGGTGACAGGCTGCTCCTGGTGGCCCGGCATGAGGCCCCGAACCCACGCAGGTGCGAACGGGCTGAGCCCTGCAGTTCATGGTTATTCCAAGGGCATCCCTGCTTCTGTGGTGCTTGAGAATCAGTGTGATCAACCACGTCCAGAGTCAAGGAGAAAACTCGTGTCATCTCAGCAGAAGCAGGGAAGGCCTATGGTTGAATTTAGTATCCATTCGTGGTTATAGAAACCACGGAACTTAAAACAGGAATTAAAGGGAATTCTCTTACTCTGATAACAGAATATAAAGCCCCTAGAGCGGGCACCGTCCTTATGCTTGCCCTCTGGGACCCGGAGCGGGAGAAGGGTGTCTGCTTGGCCATTTCTACTTTAACTTCTCCTGTGAGTCCTCATCAGTGTGCCACCAACGGTAAAAACAGTAGAAGTTAAAAAGCTTGCGAAGAAAAATTACAATGTTACTATTCTCACATGATATGATTGTAACAGAAAATCTATGAGAATTTATAGATTAATTGTTAAAATTAATGAGTTTAGCAAGTTTGCTGGTTAGGCAGTCAGTACACAAACATTA